CGTCCGGGCCCCGGCCGAGGCGGGGCGGTGGCGAGCTCATTAGCATACGGGGCGGGACCGCGGGTGCCCCGCCTCCTCTGCGGCTGCGCGGCGCTCGCCCGCGTTGGCTTCCGAGCAAGGTTTCCTTCGCTTTCCCGTGGAGCGCCCGGCACCCTGGCGCCCGCCTGGCTTCTGGCAGGGCCTGGTTCCTCCAGGTGCCGGGCCAGACCGCGGTCCCCTGGGGACCCCGTCACACCTTGGGCTACCCAACGGTCCCAGACGAGGCCGAGTGCGGGGTGCTGGCCTGCTTGCTCCAGTCCCCAGGGAAGTCCCCACACCACCTGTGAAGTCCTGGCCTCTGGCCGCACCCAGTTGTGTTCTCGGGTCACCTCCTCCGTCCACCCTGTCCCAGTCTCCTTCAGATCCAAACCACCATCCTCTGACCCCCTGGTCGGTGATTCACCCTCGCTTCTGAGAGAACGGAGCCTCCGCCTGAACCTGTCCCTTGCCCTGCGTCAGGGACCCAGACATCAACGAGGGAAGCATCTGCCCCTTAGGACGTAGGCATGGGGGGCCAGCAGATGGTGTGGTGGTTAAGGCACTGGACACTCCCACCTGGCCGACCCGGTTTGAATCCCGGACCTGGTAGCTTGCTTTCTCTCTTTCTCTCATTAAGTTAAAATGAATGAATGAATACAATTTTAAAATAATTTTTAAAAAAACGATGTAGGCATGACTGGCTTGAGGTCTTGGCAGTTACACCCTGTCAAAGCTTCTCATTTCTGCATGTCCCGGCAGGAGGAGACAACAAATGGGGCTTGGAGACCTTTGTCACCTGGTTCCTGAAAAGAGGGGTCTTCACTGTGTCTCCACCTTCTCACCTGCCCTTCCCGCTCCAGCTCCTTGTCTTTGCCAAGGTCACTGGTGACATTTGTCAGGCTGTCTGCATGCTGCCATGACCCACCGCCTCCTCCGTCATACCCTGTCATTGCCCACAGCTGGGCTGCCCTCATTGTTTTTGCTGTTCCAAGGGGGAGCAAGGATGACCCCAGGCCCGGTTGTCTCAGC